TTATTTCTCTCTCTTTCTTCCGTCTGCTACTCCTACTCAGCCTCCTCCTGCCCTCCTCTTCCTTCACCGCCTTCCTCGCCTTCCTCGTGCCGCCCCTTGTCCTTGCACTGTGCTGACCTGCATTCTCAGGCGTCTAATCCATGGATACGAGACCCCTCGCCCCTCCTCGTTAGCGCTGCATTAGATTCGAAGATTGACTCGCACAAGAGATCAACATATGAGATCGACGGACTTCTTGCGGTGAGTGACGCAGATGGTTGTTGAGGCTCTCCTGCACCCACTCCTGCTGCTGACACCACCGCCGCTCTTCCTCTCTCCTCTCCCTCTCTTTCCCTTCTCTCCTTTTCCTCTTCCCCCTCCTCCTGATGTCCATCCTCATCCTCCTCTCTCTCCTCTCTCTCCTCTCTCCTCCCCCTGGAACTCCTGCTACTTCCCCTCCTCTTCGTCCTGCCGCTGCTCCTCCCAACCAACTCCTTCTCGCACAGGCAGCGAAGCTGGCTGCGGAGAGTCAGCTCACGACAGAAGCGGAGATGTCATACCAGAAGGTGGGGAAGGGGAGGGGAGGGCAAGGAAGCGACTTGCCGTCAGGCCATGACCGCAACACCAACAGGCGCTCGTCCTGGATCCCGACAACGTTGAAGCGCTCTGCGGGCTCGCCATGCTTCTCCACTCCACTCGCAGTGACCTATCGAAGGTGATGCTCATCTCCTGCTGGGCAAGGTTCCCAAGTTTCTCATGCTGGTGCTGCAGGCGGAGTCGCTCTACCAGCATGCTCTGAGGGTCAACCCTCTACATGTGGCCTCCTTGTCCCATTACGGCCTCCTGCTTCGCGACAAGGTCAGCGGCAGTTGCTGCTCGCGCCTCTGAACTTCCGTGCAGTACGGAGATGATGCAGGAGGAGAGGTCTACTTCAAGCGAGCCCTTGAGATCGACCCCTCTCACACTGGTCGGAACTTTCAGCTGTCGTGGCAGGCGCTGAGCGTGGCTGGCAGACACCCTGTGCAATTACGCTCTCCTCCTCACCAACGTAAAGAAGGATCACTCGTTCGCTGCTGAACTGTTTCGCAAAGTCCTGCCCCATCAGTCTTGCTACTGCTGCCTTCTGACCTCTGCTCGCTAGGCGCTGGACTCCAACCCATGGCACGTGCGGAGCTTATGCGGGTACGGCATGCTCCTTCAGAACGTCAACAACGACTTTACCGCCGCTCGATCCATGTGAGGAGCTTGAAAGAGGAGCAAGGCCAGGGGAACAGCTGGAGAGTGGTGGGAAAGCAGCTGGGGAGGAACAGGGGGATAGGGGTTCACAGCTGTTGAGCTATGCCATACAGGTACTCTCGAGCTCTGCAGCAGGATCCCAATCACATCCCGACGACCATCAACCTTGCGGTAGCGGAGGAGGAAAGGGGCAAGGGAGACAGGAGAGGAGGAGAGAAAGCATAATGCTCCTAACCACTCGGCAGGTGCTCTACCGTGACAACCTGAACGAGCCGAGGACGGCTGAGAGCCTCATCATCCATGCGCTCAAGTTGGACCCCGACAACCACTGGCTCAAGGTTTTCATTCGCACCCTCAGCCATTGCGCTAAGTTACATGTCCTCAGGCGAACGCCGCGGCCTTCCGATGCGAGCCCGATACTTGAGGGAAGAGGAGAGAGAAGAGAGGGGGGGAGAGAGGACAAGGACCTTGTACTTCTTGGCGACGGGCAGATCCAAAGGCACCGACGGCAGGAGGAGAAGGATAATAAACTAACATTACCAACAAGCTCACATGACGTGATAGCCTGGTGGAAGGTGCCCAAAGATCCTACTGTGCTTCTCCAGGGCCGCCCGCCTCCTCTCCATCTTCTGCGACGTTGCACGTCAGTTCAGGAACCGGCATATCGAAACAAGTAGCAAATGAAGAAGGTAGGATGGAACCGGGTGAAAACGAGTCTACCTCGCGCTGACCGACGTCTTCGAGGGGAGACAGGCCGACAACGTCTTTCACTTCCAGAGGAGAGCCTCGCAGACTTGATTGCGGTGTTACGGGCTCCCGACTTGTCTCCTGGACAGCCGGTATGTTACATCTCAGAATATTGAATGTTGGGTGCTGACCATTAGAAACTTTGGAGGCGATCTCTCGAGTTGTATTCTTTGTGATCCCTCCCTATCATCATCATACTGGTATTCTTGCTGTATCATGGGATGTCAGGACTTTGCGCAGTTTTAACAGACTTCAGTCACATTTGCTCTAATCGAACATCTGCTCATATAACATATACTCCTCATGACACAACACAACAGGAATCCGAACGAAGTCGAAACGTGCTTTGTAAAGGAACATAGCACTTCTTTGAAATGCTTGTCACCATCGCAAGATCTGATATCAAACTCCTTTGCTAGCCTGTACCAGTCGACTGGCTCAGGCAACCATCAAACAGATCACAAAAGACGTTCAAGTAACTAGTTCTCACTTCTTCACCTCTCCCTCGATCCCCGGCATGCCTCCTCTCATCATCCTACTTTCTTTCTTCTATTCTCCTCCTGTACTTCCTCCCTCCTTCACTTGCCTGCGGACAGCACGCTCTCGCTCCTCCTTGACTGGCGCCCATTGAACCGAGATCGCCTGCCGTACCCCACCCTATCTTACGACTCAAAATGGTTCTTGTATTGACCGGTCACTGTCGGACTCCAGAAAATTCAAATCGAGGCCCAGGATCAAAATCCTGATGGAAAAAAAGTAGGACTATCCGCTTTTCCGGGCCCCCCTCAGACCGACGGTCCATGCCGGTCGAGATGAGGCCAATGAGTTCACGTTTGACGTGCGTGAGAAATGAAGGTCGAAACAAGTCATCGCCGAAATGAACAACCCGAGCCTCAAGAAAGCAAACAATGAGCAACGAAGGCCCTCGAAAGCTTTGAAAAGTCTAGGGTCTTGTGATTTTAAAGCAGCTATAGATGACAGTTTGTTCTCCCCCCATCTGCGATAGCTTTTGAGCTGAGCTCCAGAAACCATGCTTTGGCTTTCGCAACAGTTTCCACAGTCCAACAAGGATTTCTGTAAGCGAGGTTTAGACGGTTGTGTGCCCTTCCACTTTGGTGATTTCTGTTTGGAGTTGCAGCTTCTCTTCACCTTACCAGGTTGCAGTGCCAGTCAGGTATATCTGCGTCACTACAACAATGCTCGTTATAAGCCCAGTCAGGTATATCCGCGTCACTACAACAATGCTCGTTATAAGCCCAGTCAGGTATATCCGCGTCACTACAACAATGCTCGTTATAAGCCCAGTCAGGTATATCCGCGTCACTACAACAATGCTCGTTCTAAGTTTTGTTTTTCTGTGCAGTATTACGAATTGCGTCCTGAGAGTGTTGTAAACTCTTCTGAGGCGCAATGTTATCCGTCTCTACGTCTGTGCCGATCGGTATCCTCGTCGTTTCAGTCGTCACACTCATAGGCTCCTGGTCTGTGAGCTTGCCTTGTTCAGTAACTGGTCAGCGAGATTGACGATGAGTTTGTTACCGTTATTGTTATCGTGCTGCTTCTTGAACTTCAACTTCGGTGAATGCTGGCTCTGCTCGTTGGTGCGATTGAGGTTTTTCTGCTTCATGTTCTTTGCAATAGGTTTGATCGTTTGTTTCTCGTTCTTGGCGTTGATTCATTGTACCTTGATTCTTTGCCAAATCAGTAGCAAACCTGTTGAGTTTTGTGGAGTTGGGACGCATGCAGTGCCAAGTGGTGGCCGCAGTGCGAGTCGGGAAGAAACGTTTTCGAACCTGAGCTGGGCCTCCCAGGATCAGGCACTCTGACTGAGATATGATATGTCGGAGCAAGAAAGGAAGCAAAGAATTTCAAAGTGAAAACTGATTGGATACTACTGTTACCACAAAACTGTATCGTGCTGAAAATTTTCGTCGTGTACAGCTTGCAATCTTCCGACTGATAAAATTGCTAGCAAGACTCTGGATGAATGCACCAAAGCTGGTTTGCAAAACTCGACATTGGAAAGGAAACAAGTTCGCCGCAGTAAATGGGAACGGACGGGAATAAGCCAATTTACCCTCAAAGTCCTCTCCTTCTGCTCCCCCCTATCACCAAGCTCTCTGGATCCTCCTTCTCCTACGCAGCCCACTCCTCTCCCGCTCTTGAAGATCATCGCAATACGACTTCCCTTGTTCATTCCTCCTCCTTCATTCACGTGTATACGAGTTGAACCATCCTCCTCTCTCCTCCCACTTACAACCTTGCGTAAGACCTTGAGCTCACAAGATCTTAGGATCACTGTTTATTAAGCACACACACTCATCAGATCAGAAACATGCTGTCTGTTATCGTCCCTACGCTGCATCCAAAGGGCGTCCGGTATGAGTCCAGGATACAACACCCCCCGAATGCCTCCTCCCTCCTCCTGTTCCCAGGCTCTCTTCCTCCTTCCTCCCTGGCGGCGCCTCAGCCTCGTCCTCCCTCAGCCCGCACATTCCACCCTTCACTTCCCGCCCTCACTCATCGTCTCCAGTCTCGCCCTCCAGCGTCTTCTCCAGCAGCGCCTCTACCTGCTCCGCCCTCAAGATCTTGCTGATCGCCGCCCGGCTCTTCCCGTACATCTTGGCGATGTGGCTCTGGCTCACCCGCGTCGCGCGGTCTCGCGAGGACCCGTAGAAGAGCGACACGATGTGGATCTTGTCCTCGGTCGAGAGCCTCTTCTTGTTCATGCAGGAGGAGCTGTGCTTCAGCTTGCGCTCGTCGGTCCAGGGCCGGCGGGTCGCGAGGACGGGGGTCCGAGGAGAGACACAGGGGCCGGCTGAGGGGGGCGACGGAGCGCGCTCCGACCAGAGGTCAGCGCAGGAGTCATAGGGAATGTCGGTTGTAAGGAGGCAGTGGGAGGGAGGGAGGGAGCATATGAGGCAGTCGCCATCACAGCAGGAGGAGCAAGGAGGGGGAGGAGGGGGAGGAGAAGGCGAGGGAAGAGAGAGGAGAGCCAGAGGAGGAGGAGAAGGAGGAGGCAGCTGCATGAGCGGAATCTGTCGGCGCGTGGGAGGCGGTGAGGAGACAGTGACGAGTATCGTAGGGGATCAGGCGAGGCTATTTTGACCATCAATTGTTTTTGTTTTTCTGTTTTTTCTTTGGAAGTATACGGGCTGGAACGTTGCGGTTTTGCTCGCCGAGTGGTAGAGAGCGAACAAGAGTCTTTTCGCTACGGCACTACCATTTTGTCATGGCATACCCCTGGCACACAGGTCGAGAGTTGGGGTGGGTCCCGCGGAGAGGTATGGAGTTCGGGAGGTTTACGTACCCGTAGCACGTAGGGGAGTACTGTATCTCAGTAGGATATAGGAAGTAGAGGTACCTCAGGTAGAGTGGTCATAGATACCGTAACCCCCCTATAGGAGAGTATTACCTCTGTAGGGGCTGAGATTTATTATATATCGCCGGGAAATTTGTAGGAGCATGAGAATGAGGAACGTGCATAATCTGGAATTGATTTGTTACTCATATCGGAATTTCAATACAAGTTATAGTATACTCAAGTTCCCCTCAGAGAAAATTGTAATGAAATATTTTAGGAGTTCCAGGGTGGTACTACTCTGTAGCCCCACCATGCAGGGAGCGATGTCTGTCGGGCGATGCTTGTTTGGCGGCAGAGAAAGCGGTTCCCTGTGCAAGGTACTTCCTGAGCATTTCGAAGTATGTCCTTTGGAAGTATGCAGCCGCTGCAAGCGTCTTTTCCATGCGATTTGTGCTAGTAACATGGACGAGTATGAAAGAACAGGGGAACGCTGACGATACGGTGACTGTCTCCGTTGCCAGGTTGGAAGAACCTGTTGTGGATTACCCACGGACAGGCCTGAATTTGCGGCTCTGCCACCGATGTTCTGGTGTGAAAATCGTGAAGGCAGGGAGGCAATCAATGAGGTCATGGACCAGTATATCCACATGTTCGGGAAAACGCAAGACTGAGGAAGCTTATCGAACAATCTCTAGCATCTGTGGTTTATCACGAAACGTTTCTTCGGGAAGTCATGCCACGGAATCACCCCCTGTTTCGGACAGAATTATTCATACACCAAGGATACCTGGATACATTGAAGAAATGGGTAACAACCGAAGCGCACGGGAGAGTACCAACTGGAATCACTCCGCATACATCTATAATGCTGGACATGGCAGAATTGAAAGGCCAAGTTATGGAAATGAAGAATTTGATGATGACACCGGCAGGAGGACGCGGTGCGACGGATGGTAATCATCCATCGGCAGGACAGTGGGGGGGGCCACCAGGGGCTGTGGCGGCTGAGATGACAGTGACAGCAACAGGCAACAACAGCCGTGATGGTAGGGTGAATGCAGTGACGGTCAGTGGAGACTTCGTTCAGAATGTTCTAGATTCGCAAAGTCGGATGTTGGATTCGCAAAGTCGTTTACTTGAAGCTCAGAACAGATTCAATGAGAAGATGGATACAATTCTGATCAGAACGGAGCACGGGCGTGTGAGCAATACAGAGATACGGCAGGTTCAAGATGAAGCGGGAACCGGGATGCCGATGCCAACGAGCATCCATGGAGGAAGTGCAATGGACTCAATATCAGCACAAACTGGCCCAGCAAGTGGAAGCGTGGCCGCCATGCCAAGCGGGAGTGGGGCGGGCACAAGCAGCCAAGTGGACGAGTACAAGTTTGAGTGGGGTGGCAACACAACAAGAAGCATGTACATGATTTATAATTTCGGACACGCAGATACGAAGCTACCTCCATTCAAGTCCATGAGAGGTATAGACTTCCCTACGAAATCTGATGGGAAGAGACATTCTGACCTGAATTTCATGGTGAGAATGATCGATGCCGAAGCCAGCGCTCTGGGTATCTACAAGGCCAACCCCGATCGCAGAGAGGCTGATTTCATATTCGACCATTGCGAAAATTACTTGTTTGAGCAGTATCAGAGGGTGACAGGTGCCATTCCGACGCAAGAGGACGTGTCGAACTTCAGTCTGTTATGTTGGTTGACAGTGGTAGACATGCTCAGAAAGAACGAGAGAACACGAAAGAGGAGCAGGATAGATAGAAGCTGTAATGAGGGTTAATGGAGAACATAAGAACTAACTTACAGTATCGCGATGGTAAAACCTTCCTGCGATACTAGATAACGTGAATGAAAAATTGCTAGAGTGAGATATGTGTAATCACCTCCACATGCTCATGCTCATCACCATCTTCATCACCTCCATATCCTCATGATCATCATCATCACCTATACATCCAACACCACACCACCTCATCCTCCTAACGTCCTCGTCATCATCATCTTCATCTCCTCCACGTCCATCTCCTCCAGGCTCCACCACCTCCTCCTCCTTGTCTTCGTCCACCTCCTCTTCATCATCACCATCTCATGCATACATACATTCAATACTTGTTCAAAGGAATGATTGAACAACAACACATAGCAACAATCAATGAGTATATGCATGGAAAAGACGCAGAAGCCGATACAAAGCGTCCATAACGCCACCATTGCGCCACACTTAAAAATTTTTTCAAGTTTTTGAATTAAGGAAGTAAGTAAATCTTTACTCAAAAACCTAAGATATACCTATGTTCCAGGAGCTTCCTCCTATAGATAAATAGGCGCACCCTAGTGGAATTTATGTATACCCTTTTTTGACTAAAGCTTTACTCAAGTTTCCAATTTGAGAAATTTTCTAAGTGTGGCGCGATGGCGGAATGTGACAGGTTGATGCTCGCTTTCTCAAGTATATGGACTAAACAGTCAAGAAATATGCTTGCATATTTGATAATTATGAGTATGTTAATCATTTGGCACCTTATTAGACATTGCTTAAGATCGAAATGTACAGCATTCTTCCTGAGAAGGCATGTATCATAAGTGATGAAGGGAAGTCGTAGAGAGACAAATGCATGGATAGAGTGCGCAAGTGAGTGAGGGAAGCAGGGACGGATGAAGGGACTGGGAAAGCGAGATGGCAGGGAGAGATAGAGAGTGAGTGGCTGGAACGGAGGTCATGAAATCAAGCATATTGCAACTTGGTTATATCAAACTGAATGTACTTGCAGGGAGTGGCCGACGGTACCTGCCTCAATGCGATTGGGATCAGCCTTGTAGATTGGGATCAGCCTTTCTGTGGCCCTCGAACTTGTTTCAAACACGTGACAATGTGATTCACTCTTATTACATTCATCAGTTAACTTAGGTCTCGGATCTCACAGCCTTCCGGCGTTTCCTGATGGCCCTCGAACTTGTTTCAAACACGTGACAATGTGATTCACTCTTATCACATTCATTAACTTAGGTCTCGGATCTCACAGCCTTCTGGCGTTTCCTGTCGCCTCTCAGCACACCTACTACTGTCATCCAACACAGTTGCGAAAATCTTGACATGTCACCATTCGTCTCTGTCTTAGTCACCTTCTCATATTCCTCGAAAAGATAATTTTCGCATTGATCAAACATGAAACCTGCCTCAATGCGATTGGGATCAGCCTTGTATATGTCAAGAGCTTCAGCCTCTTCCTTGATGCGTTTCGACAGATATTTCATATCAGAATGCCTCTTGCCGTCATATTTGGTGGGAAAGTCAATCCCTTTCACTTCCCGCCCTCACTCATCGTCTCCAGTCTCGCCCTCCAGCGTCTTCTCCAGCAGCGCCTCTACCTGCTCCGCCCTCAGGATCTTGCTGATCGCCGCCCGGCTCTTCCCGTACATCTTGGCGATGTGGCTCTGGCTCACCCGCGTCGCGCGGTCTCGCGAGGACCCGTAGAAGAGCGACACGATGTGGATCTTGTCCTCGGTCGAGAGCCTCTTCTTGTTCATGCAGGAGGAGCTGTGCTTCAGCTTGCGCTCGTCGGTCCAGGGCCGGCAGGTCGCGAGGACGGGGGGCCGAGGAGAGACACAGGGGCCGGCTGAGGGGGGCGACAGAGGGGGCTCCGACCAGAGGTCAGCGCAGGAGTCATAGGGAATGTCGGTTGTAAGGAGGCAGTGGGAGGGAGGGAGGGAGCATATGAGGCAGTCGCCATCACAGCAGGAGGAGCAAGGAGGGGGAGGAGGGAGGAGAGCCATAGAAGGAGGGAGGAGAGCCAGAGGAGGAGGAGGAGTAGGAGGCAGCGGGGTGAGCACGTGGGAAGGCTCACGAAGGATGGTGAAGAAAATTCATTTTTCCCATTGGATGAGAGGTTGTGGCTGTTGCCTTTTAGCGCGCGTGCTGGCTGTAAAGATCTCCGAAGTAAACCCAAGTTCATTATCTCAACCGCAACGATCCACACCCACAGGAGGATTTCGTGGATTTTGCTGTAATATCTGCATAAATATTGAAATTATCTGTAAATGGATCTCATACATTCACAATGCTTTCAAACAAACTTATTGCAATGAGGGGGATAAAGGACAACGGGATAGTTTGAGAGATTATAATAATAATAACTTGTTCTGGCCCCCGAGGCTCAGGATCCGGACGTCTGCGTAACGGAACTTGTATGGATACCGCACGTGTCACATCAGCCTTCCGGCGTCCTCCTTCCCAACCAAGTATGATGTTGGGGCGTATTGGTTTATGTGAAGTACATACAGATCAGCATTCCACCTTCGATCCCCGAATGTTTATCTGCTATGATCCTTTTACTGATCTCATAAGTGAAGCGCAATCGATAATCTAACAGTCGTTCCACTCCGCTCCTTATCATGCGAGCTCTAACAAAGTTTCAAAGCTCAAGCCTTGTGGAGCAAGATTGGGCAGAAGAATCTATCACAGCCTTCTGTTATAACCATCAAGTGATCAACAAGGCAGCAAGGACCCTCCTCAATCCTGATGCAGTTACCAACGTAACGTCATACGGTTACAACATCAGATCCCCCTGATCTCCCCCTAAGATCAGCAGCATAGACGCATTATCAACGATTCTGTCTCGCACAACGGATTTCTCTTCTCCTGCTCTTGAAGATCATCGCAATACGACTTCCCTTGTTCATTCCTCCTTCATTCACGTGTATACGAGTTAAACCATCCTCTCCTCTCCTCCTGTTCCCTGATGCCTCCTCCCTCCTGCTGTTCCCAGGCTCTCTTCCTCCTTCCTCCCACAATTGACCTTTCACTTCCCGCCCTCACTCATCGTCTCCAGTCTCGCCCTCCAGCGTCTTCTCCAGCAGCGCCTCTACCTGCTCCGCCCTCAAGATCTTGCTGATCGCCGCCCGGCTCTTCCCGTACATCTTGGCGATGTGGCTCTGGCTCACCCGCGTCGCGCGGTCTCGCGAGGACCCGTAGAAGAGCGACACGATGTGGATCTTGTCCTCGGTCGAGAGCCTTTTCTTGTTCATGCAGGAGGAGCTGTGCTTCAGCTTGCGCTCGTCGGTCCAGGGCCGGCGGGTCGTGAGGACGGGGGGCGAAGGAGAGACACAGGGGCCGGCTGAGGGGGGCGACGGAGCGCGCTCCGACCAGAGGTCAGCGCAGGAGTCATAGGGAATGTCGGTTGTAAGGAGGCAGTGGGAGGGAGGGAGGGAGCATATGAGGCAGTCGCCATCACAGCAGGAGGAGCAAGGAGGGGGAGGAGGAGGAGGAGACGAGGGAACAGGGAACAGGAGAGCCATAGGAGAAGAAATAGGAGGAGGCAGCTGCATGAGCGGAATCTGTCGGCGCGTGGGAGGCGGTGAGGAGACAGTGACGAGTATCGTAGGGGATCAGGCGAGGCTATTTTGACCATCAATTGTTTTTGTTTTTCTGTTTTTTCTTTGGAAGTATACGGGCTGGAACGTTGCGGTTTTGCTCGCCGAGTGGTAGAGAGCGAACAAGAGTCTTTTCGTTCGATACAGGACGCTCCGAGGAAAAAAAAAAGTAGTCATGGGAGCAATGCCCGATGCAGAGCACGTGGGGTACTACGTCAGTCATTGGTGGGGGTGGGAGGGAAGGGGGTCATCCGGAGTTGCAGGGGCCATTGTGGGGAACGCACCATTCAATATCTTGTTCTTTTCTTTTTCCGAAGTTGTACTGGCGGTTTTAGTCATCACTCGCCGTCGATTGACGTGACAACTGTTTTCCTGAAGGGGAGTTCACTTATAAACATATAGAGGACCCGATGTAAACTTTTATAACCTTTTTTGCAGATCTTCAAGTAAACCGTCACTTAACTTTACTCAAAGGTAAGTTAAAAAATCAGAATGACTAGTACCAGCACTCTTTCCGTATCAGAAACTCGTTTTATTATTGTTCCCTGCCACCGCTGCCCATCATGGTGCGCAGCAGTCCTCCTGCCCCTTGCTCCCCTTGCTGTGACGATGACTGCTTCATTTGCTCCCTCCCTATCTCCTCCGCCTTCTCCTCATCATCGTCGTCAACGTCGTCACTGTCATCGTCGTCGTGTTCGTGTTCGTCAACATCATCATCATCACTTGCACAACCAATGCCGATATCATCATCATCAGAAGCATCATCATCCCAACCACGACCATCACCCCCACCAATATCAGCATGGTCAAAAACATCATCACACGACCCCTGTGTCTCTCCTCGGGCCCTCTTTCCCGCGACCCGCCGGCCCTGGACCGACGAGCGCAAGCTGAAGCACAGCTCCTCCTGCATGAACAAGAAGAGGCTCTCGACCGAGGACAAGATCCACATCGTGTCGCTCTTCTACGGGTCCTCGCGAGACCGCGCGACGCGGGTGAGCCAGAGCCACATCGCCAAGATGTACGGGAAGAGCCGGGCGGCGATCAGCAAGATCCTGAGGGCGGAGCAGGTAGAGGCGCTGCTGGAGAAGACGCTTGAGGACCCAATGGTCGATAGTATGGGGGACGTGACAGTAGGCGTGGGATCGCTATGAGGCTGGAGATGCAGCAGCAAGCGTGATGGGATCTGAGTCAGGAGGTTGCTGTCGACTCAGACCAGGGACAGGAAAGGTCATCGATAGGATAGCTCACGGTGCCTTTTTTCCTCCATCTAGATATTCATTTGCGTTCATTTGGAACGGATGCGGAGATAATCCAACAACTGAGCGATAGTGCACTTAGGAGTGAACAGATTCGCAATGAACCTAGATTGGTAATGTACAGCAGTAAGGATGCACACGTCAGCGCCTCCTGCAACCTGCTTGCCGCGTGATAGGAGTTACCTAAGTGGTTATCGTCTAATTCAGTTAACCGTAGCTTAACCTATCCATCGGTTATAATGAATCTATCCAAAAGCTTCCTACACGTTCAGAGAGCGCGGTTGTGTTGAGGTTCCTGTTTGCTTTTTAACGCAAGTTATTGATCAGTTATCAAGTTGGTTCAAGTTCATAGATTGAGAGTACATCATCAGGATTGTCAATCCCTAACACCGCGGCTTAAATGCCAAGCTAGGCTGCTTACATGTCGAGGTCTAGTTGGTGCTCGTAGTACCTCAATGAGTCAACATGTGTACTGAACTCGTACCTAGCCTCATGCTTTCATCGTACTCATGCGCCATACGTACGGTACGTCTACGTTTGGTGCACGTTATCGATTCTAGCTGGCATTTTATACATCTTGCCAGCGTATGCAACCTCTTACGCTCGGACTCAGGCTCGCATCATGCCGCCATGGCGGATGTCCCCCGACGAGAGTCACTGCCCTCAGTACGGCGTGTGACTCGACAGCCGGCCCCCGGGTCGCCCGCCGGGCCGGGAGGCGCCCTCCGACCGGATTCACTGGCTGCCCATTGTTTTGATGGTAACGGGTTTATAACGACCATTTCGAATTCCCCGATATGCTTGCTAACGGGACCCACACGTTTCACTCCAGCGCCGTTCATGCTTCTGCTGCTGCTGCCGCTCCTTCTGCTCTTGCTGCTGCTGCTGTTGATTTGTCTCCTCCTGATTCTCCTGCTTCTCCTGCTCCTGCTTCTCCTTCTGCTTCTCCTACTTCTTCTGGAGCTCCTCCTGCTCCTGCTCCTGCTCCTGCTCCTGCTCCTGCTCCTGCTCATCCTGTTCTTGCTCCTTCTGCTTCTCCTGGAAATCCTACTGCTTCTCCTCCTACTCCTTCTGCTTCTCCTCCTGCTCCTTTTGCTTCCCCTGCTGCTGCTGCTGCTACTACCTGATTCTTCTGCTTCACCGTATCCCCCTGCGAATGCACCTACTTCTGTTCCTGTTCTTGCTTCTTACGCTATTTATGACTGCATCGCCCGACCCTTTTCTTTGTCAGAGTTTAAGCGTGCCAGCCCTTTCATGGTCGCCCCCAATGTTCCATCTTTGTCACTGTCTGTGCATGTTTCAATAATCTGCTTGCCGGCAATTCAATTTCAAACGAACTTTTTTTTGACAGTGCATCGCATCATTTTCTCAACTCCCTCGAATTGATTGCTGATTTCTTGGGGGAAAGAATGACATGACTGACTATCGACCCTTTAGCCAAAGCTCCTTCGATCATATGGATCTCACACTTCAAAAAAATTTCATTCCTTAAGATGCACCACCGTCCCTCTCATCGTTCATAGCGCCTATAGATTAATGGCTTACATGACTATGGTTGATGTCACAGGAATTCGGTCATATCGTGACCGTGTTGCGATCCCAGGAGATGTCTGCAGAGAGTCCAGAACCAAGAGTGGTAAGGGAGGGGAGGAAACTGAGGAGGAGTGAGTGGTGTGCGAGCAGGTCTACTCTGAGAAGGACCTGGCGCGACACTTTGAGAGCATCCTCCAAGACCTGCTCAACAAGAGCCACGACAACTGGAACAAAAGATGTGATGCTCTCCGGTTGATCAGGGTGAGCCTGCTCTTCCTCCTCCCAATGCTCCTCTAGTTCCTCCTCTCTCTCCCTCTCCTCTCTCTCCTCCCTGCAAGCGCATGCTTGTCCTCGAGCAGTGGTCGTCTTCTCCTTTCCTCCTCTTACGTTCTTGCCAGGCTCTCGTCAAAGGAGGGGCTACTGACTTTCCCACCTTCGCTTCTCTGGTCCGCGTTGGAGGGCTATTGACTTCCTGCCTCCTAATGCCTGCTGCTGTCGACAGGTCCACAACGCCCGTCAAGTCCTGGCGGACTGCATTGCAGACTTGAGGTCCGTGCTGGTGAAGGAAGCATGCAAGACTGTCACCCTGCTCGCTGAGGTGAACTATATGCCTCCTCCCCCTCGTTTCTGAGGCTCGGGGCACGCCCAGAGCATGCAGCAAAGCTTCGCTCCTGTAGCTGAGATCATGATCACCTCCTGTCTGAAGCAAATCCCCGTCACGATCCAGGTTCCTCCTCCCCCCCCCCCAACTCCTCCGTCCCCCTTGATCCTTGATTGCTGCAAAGGTCATCTCGGAGGCCGCCTTTTCCTGCCTGCAATCCATCTTCACGCACACGCACAGCGGCAGGCTGATCCCAAAGCTCCTTGAAGGCATGAAGTCCAAGGCGGCAGGTCTCTCCTTGTCTCTGCTCCTTGCTCGGCTGAACTCCAGCTCAACAGGCGTCAAGGCAAAGAGCCTCAGCTGCATCCTGATAATACTCCAGAAGTGGGCCTGGAGCGGTGAGCAGCCTTATGAGAAGTGGGAGGATGGGGAGGGAAGAGGAGGAGGAAGAGAGGAGGAGGATGGGGAGGGAAGAGGAGGAGGAAGAGAGGAGGAGGAGAGGAGGATCTTACCATGGAGCAGACATGGAGAAGCAGTTCGATCAGTTGGAGGACGTGCTCGTCTCCTCCCTCTCTGACGCACAGGGCGATGTGAGGTTGGAAGCACGGTGAGACCCTCTCTTTGTCCTACAATGAGCTGCTGACGTCTCCTCCTCCTCCTCCTCCTCTTCCTTCTACTACTTCTACTGCTACTGCTGCTGCTGCTGCTACTACTACTCCCTTGCACAGTCGGTGTGTAGCAGAGGTCTGCGAGCGCTTCAAGGACCGGGGGGGGAGGATGATGAGGAATCTCGATGTCTCCATGCAGAAGAAGATTCTGGAGGAAGCCGCCTGCTCGTCTCCTGTGGCGAAGCCTCGCTCAGGCTCCCGTCCTGCCACTGCTGGAGCTGTGCGCGTTCGCACCGCCGTGCAGGAGGCAGCTCGTCCTGCTGCTCACGAGGAGCCAACAAGGCCGAGCACGACGATGGCGGCTGCGCAGAGGAAAGAGCCTCCCGTCGCGAATGAGAGGACACACATGACTCAAGGTCCTCGGAGAGTTGGAGCAGGGCTCGACAGCACAGGAAGATCAGGAGCAGGAGCAGGAGCAAGAGCAGGAGCAGGAGCAGGAGCAGGAGCTGGCGCGAGCATCAAGACCACGTGCAGGAGAGTTCCACTTGACGTCCTAGCAGCCAACCCGAGCTCCCACGATCAGATGAAGAGCGAGAGTGCGCGAGCCTGGATGGAGGATGGGAGGGACAAGACCTGGAGGAGCGCTGGGCAGGGAGGAGGGAGGAAGGAGGAGGGGAACCAGGTGCTGCATGCTGTGATCCCCCGAGCTCTGTCGGAGGAAGAGCTCAACGGTTGCCTGGTGGAGGCGTCCAACTCCCTGTGGTCGCTGCGGGAGGGCTCGCTCCTGAAGCTCGCAGGAGCGATAGTGGCGAGCCCCAGCTCCCGGGCCCTCTCCTCCGCGGCCAACAGGATCGCAGACCTGATCTCAGAGCGGCTCGGGGACGCGCATCACAAGGTGCAGCAGGCGGCCCTGGTGCTCCTTGACGCCTTCGCTGCTCACATGCCGGCGACACTCGCTCCGTGCCTGGACCTCGTCCTCCCTCGGCTGATGCAGCGGCTCTGTGACAAGAAGGAGGAGGTCCGGTCTGCGAGCGTCCTCCTCCTCCGCCGCCTTCACGAGTCCTGCGGGTCTCAGGTGACCCTGATGGGGATGGTGAAGGCTCTGGATGCTGCGCAGGCGCCGGTGAAGTCAGCATGCTTGCAGCATCTGATCTCCTCCTACTCCGTTTTCGCTCCCTTCATCGCCTCCTGCCCCTCCCAGGCTCGCAACCTCTTCCTAAAGCTCCTCCCTCTCTCCATCGACAAGGTCCTCGAGCTCAGGAGGAGCAGCGTGCAGGCCCTCGTGCAGCTCTACGTCCTCGCCCCCCTCCCCTTCTACGAGGCGCTGATGAAGCTGCCGGGGGAGCAGCAGGCGGCGATCAAGAAGTCTCTCCTCCCCTCCCTCCCCTCCCTGGACCGGGAGGCTGCCGCGTACGCGAGGACCAAGAAGCTCTCTCCCGAAGTAGCTGCTGTCTCAGCCCACGCCATCTCCTCGTGCTGCTCTCCTCAGAACAAGGAGGTAAGAGGAGAGGAAGGCTGGGAGATCCACTCGCATGCTGCAGCAGCTCAGGAGGACGACGAGGAACAGGAGGAGAGTAAGAGTTACCAGCCTTGCAACTACGAGGAGGAGGAGGAGGAAGCGATGGAGATGAGCAGCAAGCATGCGAGCGAGAGTCAGACCGTGCGGCCGGTGGAGAGGACACCGCGCAAGCGCCAGCATGAAGAGGAAGGAGGAGAGAAGGGGAGGGCGGACTCGTGGGATGACAGGGGGATAGAGAACCAGGAAGCAAACCGGCAGCCGCGGGTGAGGGGTTCGCCATGGCGGGAGGAGGAGAAGAGCATGAGCAGCAGGGAGCTGCTGACATCCATCCTCTCCCAGCTGAACTCGAGCTTGAGCAGGCAGGACTGTGAGGCCTCGCTGGAACACCTGAGGAGGCTGGCAGCCTTCAGCGAAGCCAGCAGGGAGCGAGGAGGAGGAAGCCTTGTTCAGCTGATCCTCCTCCTCCTCAAAGGAGCAGCGCAGGCAGGCATGGCAGAAGTTCAGATGGCGAGTCTGAAGCTCCTGGACGCCTCGCTGCAGGAGGAGGAGGACGTTGACCCGCTGGCTCAGGTGGTGCTGAGGGAGCTGCTCGAATCGGTTCCGAGGAGCAAGAGGAGCGTCGCTGCACAGGCGGAGGAAGTGACGGCAAGGATGATGACGCGCTGCAATCCGCAGAGGAGCATGGGGATGCTGGCGCAGGCGCTGGAAGAGGGGAACGCGCGGGGAGAGGAAGGGACCGGCTCCACCATCCCCGTAGTCATCAGGCTGCTGGAGAAGCAGGCAGGTCGCACCCCTCGCTCCTTGCTTGAGCCGCATGTCCCTCTGCTCCTGCCCCTGCTCTCGTCCGCCCTCAACCACAGCTCCGCTGACGTCCGCAAGGTAAGAAGAGGTTGAAGTGAGCTAAAGGCAGAGAATGGAGAAGAAGACGCGGAGTGCAGAGGCGAAGTTCGAGGAGGGCGAGATGGGGGGGGGGTTGGAGGGCGAGGAGGAGGAGGTTGCGAATGACTTGATGGCAGTCGGTTGTCATGTGTCTGGTTGAACTTCATCGTCAGCTGGGCCAGGAGATGCTCGTGGAGCTGGACGGGTTGCTGACAGCAGCTCAACTGAAGCTGGTGAGGATCTACATCGACAAGGCGAGAGGAGGAGGAGGAGGAGGAGGGGCAGCAGCGCTGTGCTGAGAGATATTCATGTGGTGTAAACGACTTCCTGTGTCTGCTTGAAGAGGTTGAGGATGGGGTCGAAGATGTTTTCCCCCAGGGAGGACCTTCGGAGTTCCTGGACCTCTGCTGTTACTGCCTTCCTCTCCATCTCCTTGATGTTCAGCTGGTCCTCCAACTCGAGGATCCGCATCGAGTTCCTTTCCATCTCCTCGCGCTTGCAGAGAGTCAAACAGTTCGATCCTTCTATCTCCGTTCCTCCCTTGCACTCCCTGCCTCTCCCTTACCATCCCACCCTTACTGTTCCTCCCTCCCTCCCTCCCCCCCTCCCTCCGTGTCCTCCTCTGTCTGTCCTTCCCTCTCACCTTGTATGATGGAGTTTCCGGGCTCTGCTGGGCAAGGACGTTGGTCTCAAGCTTGCCTGACCGTCTCAGCATCTCCCGCTGCAGACCATTGTCAGCGTGAGAGGACAGGAAAACCACCACAGCAAGAGTGTGGGGAGGGGTGGAGGGAGGGGGAGGGGGATTACCAGCGTCGTTAGCTCCAGGAGGAGGATCCTGCAGGGGAAGAAGCCTCAGCAAAGGTCCAACAGCAGGCCAGCAGCAACCCACCTGTTCTTTTCCTGCAGTTGGTTCTGTTGGATGGCCACACTTCGGATGTACTCCTCCTGGTAGCTCACTTGCTTCTTCGCCGAGTTTGCGCTCCTCATGCCGTCCTGCGCCTCCTTGTGCAGCTTCGCGTTCTCCGTCTCGTAGATGGACATCCTGTCCTCCAGGCTCTTCTTCTCTCGCAAAAACTGCTCCTCCCTCTCCTGCACGCGCTTGTCGTACTGCAGTTTGCAGATCTCCTGCACTTGCACCGTCTTGGTCTGCTCCCGCACTAGCTCGTCTCGCAAGCCCTCCAGCTGACCTTGCAGCAGCTTCATCTTAATCAGGTCCTGGTTCTGCAGCTCGATCGTTCTGTTGGCCTCCACCAGCTGATTTTCCAGCTCGGAGATCTCGAGGACGCGTCTCCTCCTCAGCTCGTTGAAATCTTTCTTGTCGACCACCAGCTTGTCATTCGCCACCTGCAGCTGCAGGTCCACCTGTTTGATGGCGTCGTGGAGCCTCTCGATGCCGTGCGAGGTGCGCTCGTTCTCGAGGAACAGCAGCCGGTTTGCCTCCTTCTCCCTCCTCAGCTGCGCCTGCACCTCCGCAAGCTGCCTCAGGAGCAGCTGCTCCACCTCTGCCCTTGACCTCTGCAGCTCGTCGACCTGACGGATCTTGGAGAACGTCGCCGCGTCGAGCTCCTCCTTGAGCCGACTGATCTCTCCCTCGAAGTAAAAGGTCCTCCTCTCGTTCTCCGACAGGCTCGTCTGGTAGAGTTGGTTGAGGACGCTTGTCTCCTCCTTCTGCCGCTCCAAGCTCAGGTGCAGCTCCCCCGTCTGCTCCTGCAGGGCAGCCACGCGGTCGCTTAAAGACAGCAGCTCCTCTTGCGGTTCCTTGCTGGCTGAGACGATGGTCGATCGGAAGGAGGGGAGGGATGAGACGTCTGCCTCCTTGAGCTTCGCCAGGAACTTCTGCGACAGCCTTGACGGAGTCTCGTCGCTGCCGTCAGGCAGGAAGTTGACGTGAAGCTGAAGCGAGTCCTGGTCAAAGTGATGGACCCGCACGCGATCAGGAGCGATACCGACTGCCCTGCTGATCTCACTCGCAAGCTCCTCCTTGCTCCTCTCCTCATAGTCTTGCCTGCGGGCAAAGCTGACGACCACTGGGGCACACTCCAGCCTTCTGGAGCTCTGGAGCTCCTCCGCCAACTGAGCCCTCTCCTCTTCCTTGCGAGCGAGCTGGGCCTGGAGGGACCGGATCGTCTCCTCATACTCGTTGACAACCACCTCGAGCTTGTTCTCGTAGCGATCCTTCTCCCTCATCATGTTGAAGTACTTCTGATACAGAGCGTCCCACTCCTCCCCCGATCGATACCCCTCCGGAATCCGGGGGATCCCTCGCTTCTTCAGCTCCAGCACCTTGCTGTACGCCTCGTCCCGCAGGGCAGCAGCCTGGGAGAAAGCTGGATCCGATAGCTGTTGTGCTAGCTGGACACACTTGGCCTCCTCATCAGGTGTGTCGACGAAGGTGAGAAACTCTCGGAAGATCGCCAACCAGGCGTCTTCCGCCAGCGACCGCGTCCTCGTAACCTGCACGCGGTACTGCTGCTCCTGATCCCCCCTGGAAGCCTCGCGGAGCAGGTCAAGGAGAACGTCTTGCCCTGCCTGCCCTCGGATGAGGATCTTGACGGAGTCTAGCGTGAGCCCAGTAACGCTCTTGTCATCGATGGCCAGCAGAACGTCTCCTTCACGCACACCAGCTGACATGAGCTGCCCGCCGTAGACCACGTAGTCCACGATGACCTGACCATCTTCTCGTTGCGCAAGCACTGTATGTATGCCAGCTTGCGTTGATGAGGACTGCAATACATTAGCAAGATTCGCAGGGGTAGGAGCAACAGGAGCAACAGGAGCAACAGGAGCAACAGGAGCAACAGGAGCAACAGGAGCAACAGGATCAGGAGCGGCAGGAGCGGCAGGAGCGGCAGGAGCGGCAGGAGCGGCAGGAGCCATTTCGTCCAACTCAGTTTGATCCATAGGCAAGTCCCACAGCACGGTGGCCATTCCTGCGACACATTTGAGCAGGGGAGCTAAATTGTTCAATCAAGCAGTCATGCACAGGTGCTAATTCACTGGCAAGCAGTGTTGCTGATGTCCTTGTCCTGCTTGTCCCGGCTGCTTGTTCTCTTCTTAACCCTCTGCTTCCGAGTTCCTTCTCTCCTCTCCTCTTCTTATTCCCCCTTCAAGCTCCTCTTGTTCTTCTCCCCGCCGGGCCGGCTCCCCTCTCCTATACAAGTCTCTGAAACATCCAATGTAACTAGTAAAGACTTTCTCCCTGTTCACATCATCGTTGTTACCGTCTTTCTCCGTTCGCTACAAAAAAAAAGAATCCTTCACCTTCCTCAGCCCTCGCCTCCCTTCCTCCGGCTTGCCTCCTGGCCGGGCTCCCTCGACCCCGACTCTCAGTATCCGCCTCCCCCCTCTACCTCCAGGCTCCCTCTTCTCCCTTCCTCTGAGTCTTCTCACTGTCCGATACGGTCACTGGTTCTTTCTCCTCTCCTCCCGCTCAAGTTGTCACACAGTCTCGCCCCCCACCCCAGTGCGACTCCCGCACTTCCGGCTCCATCTTGCCCTGCCCTTTCACTGTTAGTCAAACAAATTGTAACGGTCTATAACGACCGTCGGACTGGGATCTATCCGAGCGGAGTCTCCGAGTCTCCGAGCGCCGCGACCGGGCGCCAGGCCCATCCGAGTCCGAGTCGGGCCCCGGGCCAAGTAACTGAGTCACTGAGCCTCGGAGTGTGGTCTCTTCGGAGCTTGAAGCCGACGATGATCACCGGACGACCTCCGACTGTTTAGTCTTTACTCAAAGTTAAGTTAAAAATCAGTACGAGGACCTCACACTGCTGACTTTGAGTAAATCCGTTGCCCTATTGGCCCTAGTACTTATAATTATAGACCCTTTGAACCCGGTCCTAGGCAAAGGGTTTAACGAGTAGGGTCGTGTTGAGCGGATGAAGGACCCCTCCTTGCTGAGACTCCCTAAAACTCGTCCCATTCCACCCCTCCTCACTTAGATCCCTTGGAGGGGACCTTTCTATCTCCATCACGAGAATGCCATCTCGCCGTCTCCTTGCCGCTTCTTGGAAGCTGATCTGACTGCCTGAGCTCAAGGTGTCAGACTCTAGCTCCAAGAAACTCAGTAGTGACGAGCTACTTGACCCATGGCTACACCCCCCAACGACCTTGAGCAGCATCGATCTCGGTACCTTTCGACCTTGCAAGCAAGGCCTCTTCGTTTGTTGTTGTCTGACTCGCTCCTCCATTCAGCCCCCCGTCGCCACCAACTCAATCCTTCTACCTTGTACACACCCGCCATCGTCCATCGGATGGCTCCCGGCCCTTGGCAAGCACAATCTGCCTCGATCTCTCCATCATTCAGAATCTCTTTCATTTACGTCAGGCAGACGCCGCAGAGACTCTGGTGCGTCACGCTGCTGTTTCTATCGGCAGCTCCTGGCATCTGATGCCGTCTTGCAGGGAATCTCTTTGACCGCCATGAAGAACGCCTGCAAGGCCTTGGGAGTGGAGAAATGGCCCTACCACCGCGTCCGTCCTCGAATCGAGAGTGGACAACAACTGCCCTCCACCAGTTTAACCGAGGTTCATGAGGAGGGTATGAGGGTTGATGATGGTAGCAGCTTTCAAGTCCACCCAACTTCAGAACAGCAGTCGGCTCCTGAGCCCACAACTTGTCAACCATCAGCAGCGTACACACTTGCCTCTCCGCCGTCATGTCACACAAGGATCCAAACAAGCCAGGCATTGTTATCGATCAGTTCATCCACGAGCAGCTCTCCCTCTGCATGCTCAGGACACGCGAACCTTCAGACTCAGGTGACCGCAGTGGCTGCTTCGGAGGATCAAGACAACTCCACAGGTGCAAGGACGTCGATCCTGTCACGTCCCGAGCTCGATTCCGAGTGGCTGGAATGGTACATGAGACAGCCGATCTCGAAGGAGACAAGTTTGAATGAGCAGGAGGAAGACGAGACTGTTGTGCAGTGGAGCACAAGCATCAAAGCCAAGCCTATCACTTGACTCTGACCACCGAGTTTGCAAGGCACGGGACAGATGGAACAATGCTGATAGGTCAAGTTAGAGTCCATCCTTTGAGTCAGAGTAGCCCTCACTGGCAGTCTGACAGTTGGACCGAATGGTCCCGTAGCCTAATTGCCATCTGGTATCACAAACGTTCACGGTTACTTAGAGTTTGGCCGAGCTGATGTTAAAGATTACGTGCCTCTGCGACCCGGTGACCCTTGGCAGGGCCAGCTGATGAAGGGGACATCACAATAAACGCAAGGAAACAGGGAGGAGAAACGGATGGAAGGCAAGAAACACACAAAAAGCTTCTGAGAACCTTCCAGCACTGCAGCACATCATCCGATCATGAGCCTTTCTCATGCCCACGGACTCCGATGATAGTCTGCCCGCCGATTCCCCCGGACTCTGAAACTCCTCCTTCAACTATCGATCTTTGGTTCCCGGGCCAGTTTTGAAGCTGAAGTTCCACTGACCGCCGAATGTTCAATTGAGTGAAACCGGCAAGAGAATTGAGACTGGGCCCCTAAAGCAAGTTGCTGTCACGGCGGTCGGATCATAGCGGCTGCACTTTGAGTAAAGAGGCTGCACGTCAGTTGTATGATGCCGCCCGTCAGATCAGCCGCGCGGCCGCCGGCCGGCAGTCACCCCGGGCCGGCGGTTCAGTAAACGGTTTTAGGTTCGTTCAGTTTAGTTCGAACCCTTCAAAGTTTACTCAAAGTTAAGTTAAAAATCAGTACGAGGACAATCAGGAGACGGTAGAATCAGTCACAGTACTATGAGCATGTTTGGTTAACTAAAACTTTACTAGTAGTACTGCTCGCCGCGCGGTCTGTTCGAAGCCAGCAACTGAAAGTTACCACCCACCCTACCATACCCGGTGACCACTGAGTGCAGCCTGGCAGATTCTGTATGCGTTACTACCGTTTCAAACCTTCCCCTTCCAAATTTTGTCGCTGCCACCGAACAATCGCGAATGATGACTATGACATTTCAAAGAACAACTAAAATATTAAATCAAGTGCTGAGAACTGAGGTTGGGGAGTCGAAATTTCTGCAGGGTTCCGAGCACAGAGGAAGCGCCGATGCAGAAAAGGGCAACCTCTGATGACGACATGGAAAACGACGACATGCTGGGCTCTTCTCCAGTCCAGCAGAGCAAGAGGCGAAGAACGGATGACCCGGCAGCACCCGTCTCGCCGGAGGGCAAGTTAGCAGCTTCTGCAGATGAGAGCGAAGACACTGAGAGCGAAGAGGAGCTCGAAGAGGACACCCCATACGGCGAAAGAATCGAGGACCTTAGAAACCTTCTACATGATGTCACCACGCTGGTTCCGCAGAAACGCATGCAGGAGTTTGCACAACTTCGCAACAGATGCCAAGAGGTAGAGCAGGTCATGAGGAAGAAGAAGGTATGCTTGTTCGGAGCGAATGGGAATGGAAAGAGCTACTTGATCAACATGTGGCTTATGTTGACCTCCTGCCTGTCTGCGGAATATCAGCAGGGAAACGAGGAAAGCTCGGGCGCAAAGAAAGAAACGGCTGAGGATGATGACAAGAATGAAAGACGGGTGAAGACTTACAGCAACACGTCGAGCCCCTTAAACGATATAGACCTCGTCATTGAAAAGTACACCCGATGTACTCCGCTTTTCAGGAAGCAGGAAAAGAATCAGGAAACTTTTGGCAATCAGCTGCCGTCGCACTTGCTTCCAAGCAAGAACTTGGGCTCCAGTCTAACACCATGTGCAATCAATCTGGTGTACTCGAGGCGTTACTACATGGAGGTGGAGTATCTCAGCAAGGAAGAGCTTCTGGAAGATGCAGGCCCGTGGATCTCATGTCAGCGAGGAGGAAACTCGTACAAGAAGAAATTTCGAGAGATGCGGTCTCGCTACGATGCTGTAGTGGCAGACGAGTTCAAGACCGTCGATGAAAAGATTCCCGATAACGTCACGAGCACCGACGATATCCGGATCAAGCCCGGGCTTGAGAAGGTTGCTGGAAATCGCTACCGCTTCAAAGGAAATGGAAAGGATCTCCACAACGACCGACAGTTCATCCGAGACAAGCTAGACAAGCTTCTTGAACAAGAAATCTTCAAGACAGGCGTAAAGTCGGAGAAGATTGGTGTGCCGAGTACGATTCTACAGCAGGTAGATCAGATCACAGATTGCCCAGGTGATTGACTAGATGTTGGTTTCGCTCTCTGACGTTGATGACCCACTGCAGGAACCAATGAGGTGAACCCCTTCATGGTGGCAGCTACAAGAGCTGCCGCGGGTGGAGCAGCATGACGTGATCGTGATACTGGAGAAGAGGTCGCTGGACTCGAGCTGTAGTAGCATCGAGTTTCTCAAGAGCACCGACTTCATTAGAAACATGATCAAGCACGGACAAAGTCACCAAATGGTTGTTTTCTTGTGCATTGAAAACAGCAGCGATATGATTGACCATTACTACAACATCATCAAGGGGAATGGGCAAAACATTCAACAGATGCATGATGATATGATTAAGAAAAGCTCCAAGTACATGTACGAGACATTGTTTGAGTGCTGTATGGAGGAAGGAATGGATCATAACGAGGCCATCAGCCGGGCGAAAGAGATCAATGCCTCCATCATCTATTCGGTCATCTATCCGTCCTTGTACACTGCCATTGAGTTTGACAAGGCATGGCGGGAGGAGCATGCTCAAGATCTCCCTCGTATCCTCTCGACCATCGACTGCTACACAATGTTGGGAGTGTTTCGGAGATTGCCTGCTCAGGTTCTTTCGAACGTTGCCCCCGAGTTCTATCGAGACATTGAAACATTCATCGAGCGGATCACGCAGGAAGGAGAGCTGACTCGGGAGCAGATGAAACCGCTGAAAGCCACCGAGTCCATGATTGAGGCAGCTGAGGAGTTTAGGAGCATGTTCAAGATCAACAGGAAAACGGAGACCAGAGTGAAAGCGAAGATGGAGGCTCCCTATGACGCGCTGGATACTTATCTTGATTTGTGTCACGAGAAACTTGAAAAGTGCGTGAAGAAGTTTGTTGAGCTCGATGGGAACGAGACGGTGCAGCAAGCCTTCGTTGAGTGGTTACAAGGCTTGATTCAAGAAACTCAAATCACCAAAGAAAACAAGGCATGGATGTCGAGCAAGTGGGTGGGCAGGGGTGACGAATGCTCCTTCTATGTCGCGGTGTCGCGTTGGTGGGCTGACAAGTTGAAGTATGATGAGCTTGAGGATGTGCTAAGGCAGTTCCTATCGGAGTTAATGTCAAAGGCTGTTGAGATCATGAAGGAGTTCATGCTAGGAGATTTCTTCCCGGAAACAAGAAGTCGACGAACTATGAGCTTCTGCTAAACAAGTACATCAACACGAGGCTTCAAGAGAATCAGTTTGAAACGGCAAAGGATAGCTTCTTCCTTACAGGAAAGTCTGCCCTTCATCTCAGCCAGAGCAACTTCGAGACCAGAATCTTGAGAGAAGCTCAGCTTCAGGCAATCAAGGCTTATCTCAAGCGCCATGAGAAAGACGCTAACCGATTGAAAATTGACGCCTACAAGAGAAAGCTTCAAGAAGGGGCTTCGACGCTGTGCACTGATTTTGTTGACGCCTGCAAGAGCTTGCTCTGGAGGAAAGCAGAGTTCGCGTACAAGATCTTTGCCAACCGGTTGACGACGATCAACAAGAGCCTCAATCCGAAGTTTTCCCTTGTCATCGCTTGTTACGACTTCGCCGACTACGTGCTGGAGGAGTCAGAGAAGACCCGACCCTTCGAGGGCAAAAGCGGTGTTGATGACGTGGCAGCCATCTTGTCTCGGATCAAGAAATGCATCCCTCAGCAGAGCACTGACCTCTACGTCGAGGTGGTGAACAAGGAGGTGGCAGAGTCGATCACGAGGAAGAGGCTGCACAGGGAGCTTGACAGCTTGCAGCGCGAGCACGGGGATCTGCTGCTGGGACCGAGCTTGAAGCCTCACAACATGAGACACATGAAGCGAGACGAGTGGAAAACAAGCGAGGTCAGCCTTCCTCTCAACATCGACCCGAGTCAGGTGGAGTCGCTGCTTCACACGCTTGACAAGATGAGGCTCAAGATCTGGCCGAGCACGGAGGAAGTCAAGCCAGGAGCCAACGAGAGGATGTGCCTGTTTAAGGCCATCGCACTCAACAGGTGGGATGCGGAGCAGAACCTGAAGGAGATGATGGCGCAGCTGAGAATCGCCTTCTGCTTGCAGCTGAAGCGATGCAACGAGACAGCTCAAGACCGAGCGACTTTCGCCGAGCGATACAGCCACGTCATCCCCCCCGGCACAGACTGGAAGAGGGACTGGAAGTCCTACCTCAACAATGCGGAGAGGGAGGATTGGCCGGGAGACTTACTGTGCCTGGCCGTGATCTCGGAGCGGTTGTTTCCTCAGCCTCTCAACGCCGTCGTGTGGGGCTCGGGCATGTCGCAGCCGATGCAGATCAACGAGGAGAAGAATTTCTACTGCTATGCCATCCTTTCAGAGACAGACAACTGGTACGACTTCAGGATAGTGAGATCGAAGAGCAGAATTGTGGAGGAGGAGGAGGCTCTAGCAAGTGAGCGCAGTCTCAGGATGCGAGTCCGGTCAGTGGTCATGTTAGTGACTTACAAGATGCTTGACGAGATTGGGGGAAAGTTCGAAGAGCTTTGCGATAGAGCGATGGGCTGCAAGGTCAAGATCTACGTCCCCAAACCTGTTTTCGACAAGATCACGGGGACGTCGAAGCTCTCGAAAGGCATGAACAAGATTGAGCGTTACATCGCCTGCCAGATCCACAACCCCATGTTCATGCTCGAGTCCAGGGACGATGCTCGTGCGATGCAAGGCCTCGATAACAACAAGATGGACCAGATTGTCGTTTGCGCCAAGTCTCTGCAGAACAAGAAGTCGAACCTTGTTGTGGTCGTGGCTCTAGAGAAGGAGGCTGCCTATATGCAGTGCATGCAGCTGGGGATACCGGTCTTCACTCCTGGGTTTGGGACACCAGTCGAGCAAAGCTTTCCGGCTGCTGGTATGATGGATATACTGGAGAAGTTGGCGACGAGGAGGCACAAGGACCCCGCGTCGTTTTTTGAGGAGGAGTGGAGGAAAAAGCGTGGGATTGTCCAGACAGAACCGTAGAGTGTGTGAAAGGCTTGAAACTCTTATCACTGAATGATCAAATAAAACTTATGATAAGTCAGTGAGGAGTACGTTCTTGGAATGGCATGATCGAAATTTCGCATGAACTTCGGAACTGAGCTCAAACCGAGACTCTACTTTACTGAGCGCCGAGCCTCGGAGCCTGAAAGGTTTGTTGCGGCCGTTTCATGATCGGATCGGCTCGGGTCCGTCAGCCTCGCAGCCGGCGGGTCCCGGGGACTCGGGAGGGCGTCCGGCGGGGGCCCCCAGGCTTTGACGTTGGCTTTCAAACTTGAGTCACTCGCCGCCGCTGAGCACTGCGGCATATGGCATTACGATCAGTGCCCTCGGATCCGATCTTCCTCTGTGGTTGCGGAAGTTCAAAGTCCCCTACGTTCCAATCATCGCCGCGGCACCCCGAGTCTTGCGTGTGACTGATTTGAGTAGAGCTCGGAAGAGCAGGTCCGGAAGTCCGTACGGTAACCCGGGCCGGACTCCGGTCCCGGTCCGAGTCTGACACTGAGTCAATCGTTACAAGCAGTAACCAACGTAACCGACCTTCCAACGGCAAGTGAACCATGAAATGCACTGGTGTACGAGGAAGTTCAGTCAAGATTTGGACTCTTCGTTGAGGGGGTAGGGGTGATATGTAGAAAAAGAGGGGGTAGTAAGTCATACCTTCCCCATACACCGGTGTCAGTTCCAAGATATAGAGGGGGTAGGGGGTGGCACGGAAATAGAACGCTGCTCGTAATGGTAAGCCATTGTGGAGGAACATTGAACGAGGCAGAAGAGGAGGAGGAGGAGGAGGAGGAGGAGAAGGACGACGACGACGAGGAGGAGGAGGAGAAAGATAGAGATGAGAAGAGGATTTAAAGACAGATGAGGAAAGGGAGTATGTGTTGGAATGTGCGATTAAGAGCATGAGAAGGGGATGATAGATTTCTATGGGAAGCTGGTGGGATGGTTGGAAGGTTTGACAGAATATAGAGCCAGAATCCAGATCTTGTATAGAAGTCAAACAGCTATCAAATATTGTTGCTCTCGTGTGTGCCCTGGAGAGATCTGTTCGCGGTCAACCAATGGCCAATAGTATGCAGGATGGGAATATGATTCTTGAAGTGATATTCCATGGTTTCTATTCAAGAGGAAGGTTTCATCCATAAAGGGGTAGAGTCTTTGTATGCCGAGGAGTTACGGGTCGCCTCTGTGAAATGTCTCACGGCAGAAGCTGTAGTGGGTACTGAGCAAGTCCCGTTTATGTTTGTATCAAGGCTTAGGCATATTTGCTTGGAACGAATTCCCACAAGTCGAATGCGATGGTAGAGTTGCAAGATGTGAACTTGACAGTGATGCTCTGTGAACATGACTGACGCTCCTCCTGTGCGGCTGACTGTTGCTTGCAGTTCGCGCTCTTCTCTCAGTTGTTCGAGACCAGCAGGACCACTCAACAGCTCGACTCGTGGGAGCAGGTGAGGTCCTCAGGGCGGTGTGACGTTGCTCATGCTCTCTGTGCTGTGCAGGTCTCCTCGGGCTTCGTGGACTACACTCTCGCTCCTGCCTACCCTGATAGTTACCTCCCTACCCCAGCTTACAAGGGAGTCACGGTGGAATGCTCCGGCTACTGCCAGTAGATAGCGCTGATGCTTGAATAAATTTCGGCAAGAACATGGTTAGGAGGGAGGAGGGAAATGGGAGGAGGGGGGAGAGGGGAAGGAGGAGAGAGGAGAGATGAAGAGCGGGAGATGTAATGGCATTGGATGTACGTATTGAGGGGAAAAGGATAGCGAGAAAATTTCACTGCAAAGGAGATCAAAGCAGAGAAGAGATCGGAGATCCTTGGGTAGCAGCAGTAGAGGAGGGGGAGGAGGAGGAGCTGGAGCTACACGAGTTTGAGAGTCAGCCGCGGGTTTCCGCTCTTATGATGCTCGTCGATCGAGTCGATGGCCACACGAATGACTTGCCCGACGTGAAGGACCATGCCCCGAGGAAACTGAAGGGAGATCAGAAGTTGGACGGGATAGACAACAAGACGAAAACAAGATCACGGCGATGATGATGGTGAAGATTGTAGACATAAGATAAAGATGACGACCACGACCACGACCACGACCACGACCACGACCACGACCACGATGGAGATGATGATGATGATGATGATGATGATGATGATGATGATGATGATGATGATGATGATGATGATGATGATGGAGATGATGATGATGATGATGATGATGATCATGAGATGAAGATGATCACAGAGACGATGATGCAAACGATCACGACGAGAGATAAAGACGAGACCAAGTCAACATCCAGCACAACAAAGATGCAGAGCATGCAGTGAGAGGTTCTCGAAACCTTGGAGGAATGGAGCAGCCCGTCCCTCCCTACCCCGATGTCAACGAAGGCTCCGAACGCCACCACGTTCCTCACTATCCCCTGCGCATGCTAGTTGACGCTGTTGGACCAGGAGGAGGGATACAAATCTTACCTCGACCTCCTCACCAACCTTGACGTCACTGATCTTCCTGCTACCAGCCTTCTTCTCCGACCCCTTGCCTGTTGTAGCCAGTTACAGCTCCCCAACTTGAGCTGGGGATCACCTGAGGCTGTGATGAATGTGGGAGGAGGAATACCCAGCAGCTTGATACGAGGGTCCTGCCCTGCTCCTCCTCGTCAGCCCTGAGGCTACTGAGGAAGTGGACTGACCTGGAAACCGAAGAAACTCCAGGATATCTTTCAGCGTCTGCTCTCCGACCTCGAACTTGCCCGCCAGCTCACTGAGCGACTTGGCGTCGAGTTCAGGAATGTTCACCTCTTCCCCCTCCTCCCTTCCCTCCTTCTCCTTCTCCTCCGCCTTCTTCCCCTTCCTCTTCGTCGCCCCGGCCAGGTCCACCCCGAGGTGCTTGATGACTCCCTTGGCAGCTCGGTAGCTCTCCGGATGCACCGACGTGCTGTCGAGCATCTCGGAGCTCCGGTAGACCCGCAAGAAGCCGGCCGCCTGTTCGAAGGTTTTCTTCCCCACCCCCTTCACTTGCAGGAGGTCAGCCCGGGAGGCAAACGCGCCCTCCTGCTCCCGATGCGCCACGATACTCTCGGCCATCTTCGCTCCTATCCCCGCCACGTACTGCCGGCCCAGTGAGC